CAAAGTAACTCAAATGTGCTCTTGGATATGAGCTTAAACTATCTAATAGAAAAAAAAAAAACTCACAAAATCCACTCCTAGATGTGAGCCTAAACTATCTTTTAGAAAAAAAAAAAGAAAAATCAAAATTCGCTCCTAGATATGAGCTTAAACTATCTGTGCTACTAGATACAAGCATAAACTATATACAAGATACCTGAGTATGAGTATAAACTATTCAACTTCCAAAGTAACTCAAATGTGTTTCCAGATACGTGCATAAATTGACTACAAAACTCCAAGAGTATGAGTATAAACTATTCATCATTTTGAAACTACTCAAAATTTGCTCCTAAATACAAGCATAAACTATCTGTAGAAGTCCTGAGTATGAGTATAAACTATTCAAACTAATAAACAACTCAAAATGCACTCTTGGACACGAGCCTTAACTATCAACTAAGCATTCCTAGATAAGAGCCTAAACTATCTGTAAAGCCCCAAAGCCCAAGTACAAACTACTTTATGATCTACGTCATGACTGGATCCTTTAAGGGGAATGTAGGCAACCTTAAAAGGTGCAATCACAAAATAAGCAAATTATTTGTTCTACTCCAGGCCCGCATGAGTATAAACTGTGAATGAAAAAACCATAAAAAAAAACGATCCTACTCATGACTTGCAAGAGTATGAACTACTAATGGCACAAAAGATTCTCTACTATAAACTATAAGTGGTTAAAAAAAACTCATGGCCCACACAAGTTTAGACTGCGAACAATCCAAGAAGTTCTTGCTCTTGCCTGTAAGAATGTAAACTTTGCAAGTCGGTGGTTGCATTGCCAATTATAATAATAACCACCAACTTGGGGGGCATTTGTTGATATGTAAATTTTGGGGCCAAGAACTGAAATAAATAAGGCCTAATATGAAATTGAATAAAAAGGAACTATTGGGTCCACTAAGAAAAGAATATAAAAAATTGGGCCCAATAAAAATGTTGGATGAGACCCAATGTGAAATTTAACTAAAAAATGGGTTCCCTAATGTATTCGTGGGGAGGTACCATTAAATCCAAACCCATTAGGTAGGGCCCACTAAAAGCCAAACTGAGTAGAGGCAATGAGCATTTGCCACATTGAGACAGAAACAACAGCTTTCAAAGCTTAATCGATCAACCAAAAAAAGAAAATTATGGTTGGTCAATAAGCTAAATTGTGCATGGGCCCAATCCTTTTGCCAAGTGGCACTTGAGATCAACACTTGATTTCAAGTGTTGAGAGATAAATCCAATATGAAGACTAAAGATTTACCACCGAATTGTTAATTTAGTGGGGCCCATTTGAATGGTAATAAACCGAATTGCATCACAACTAAAAAGGAAGAAAAGTAAATGTTGGTTAACTGCTTGCCAAATGGGTTCCAAGCATAATGGATCATGATCCAATCAATCTAGTGGGCCCTATTGAGATGACAATTGTCACTTTTCATTAAAAAGAAATCAATAATTGCTGAAGATTGCGTGGGCTCTTCAAGTGAGGCCATCTATTATAAAAAGGAACGGTGAAGACTGAAGAATTTGGAAGAAGTCTAACTCATGTGCTGATATTGAAATTTCAAATTAAATGTTGTTAGCCACGTGCATGTTGAGCAATTAAAATCATTCTCTCCTCTTCGGCTCTCTCCAGCAATTCCCGAGTTATGTTTCAACTTTTCTTGTTGTAAGAATGAAGAACCAGAAATTTGGCTTCCCAACCGTTGAAGCTTCAAAACTGTTGCAGTCCTGTGTCACGCGAATCGAAGAAATTGGTCCTTTGAGTTGCTATAATCAAAGAAAGCTTCTATCAAATTACTATATACAAGAAATATTCTATCAAATTATAGTAATCAAAATATCTTCATCGAGTCATTACAAAGGACCTCCTACAATTAAAGTCGTCTAGCTTTACGGGTTTTGTTCGTAAAAAGCTACAAGTGCAAGTTCAGTCGTGTCCATGACATTATGTTTTGAATTTGTCTTCATTATTTTTTGTACTCCAAATTTAATGCGAAATTTGTAGGAGATATAGCTTATAATAGGGGAGCTTGTCTTTCTCAAGCTCAACCCTATAAGCAAGGGTCCGAGGATGCTAGGCGCAATTTCAAGTTCTCTCCCTTGTATTATGGGCCATACAGGGTGCTGCAACATTTGGGCCCTGTAGCCCATATAATGGACCTGCCAAAAGAATCAAAGATTCATCCAGTATTCCATATGTCTGAATGTCTCAATTGAAGGATCAACTAGGCCCCACCGTTCAAACTCAGCCCACTCTACCACTTCAGCTAGAATCAGATTTAGACGAATATATCCATTGGAGAGGGAAGTCCCTAGCAGAGTCTACTAGGGAAAGCGTTGAGTTTATAGCCCAGCAATTTCGGCCCATGAGGACATGGGCCATCTCAAGGGAGGGAGAGCTGTCACAGACCTGAATTGACCCACCACGTCAGCATGCCACGCTGCTTGAGCCATGGAACAGTCCACTTAGCCCCTCAAGGCTCCTTACTGTTAGTTAGATAGCCTGTTGACCCAATAGCTTACGTTTTCATGTAGAACTCATTTGAATAAAAGTGAATCTCGATAGTTGGGGAGATTTACTGATTATTTGCTATCTTTATGTTAGTTGACACTTTAATCCTATTATTTTCTATTTTTTTTTCCTTTGAGAATTATCTCATACTCTATACTTAGGGGTGTCAATGGATTGGTTTTGGATTGGATTTGGACAGATTGGACAGACCAACAAGACATATTGAATTGAACTAGTCCAGACTTAATTGTACAAAGTATTTATTGGATTGGATTAGACCTTGTCCATCCATTATGAATTTATAATGGATTGGGTTGGATTGAGCCAATATCCAATTCATTGATAGAAGATAAGAATATAGGTGTCAATGGACCAGGTTTGAGTTAGAATTAATCTAAATTAAAAATAAATTTGAACAGATTGGAAGGCTTAAACATTGATTTGAACTGATCCAAAATGGTCCAAAATATCCATTGGACTAGATTGGACCTAGTCTATTTATAATGAACTCACAATGGACTGGATCAGATTGAACCAAATCCAGTCTAATTGACACCCCTATCTATACCCAACTGACTATATAAGGTCGGCTTCATATCAATAAAGTCATGAATTTTATCTCAAACAAACTGTCTTAGGAGGAAGGACAGCCTTGAACTAACCCATGAGTTCTCTCTATCTCGCCAGAATAGGGAAGAAGAAATTTACTTCTCTATCGTCAATTGCTGGCTCTGGATCGGACGACCCATTCACATGCTCCGACCCCATCACATGCTCATTCAGTCAAGCCCGTGACATAAACATATTAACAAACTGACAGCATAGCAATCCAGCGATCATTGGGAACATCTCCCATATTAACACACTTCAACCTTGTAAAATGCATGTGCCAGGAGAGACGGCTTTTGCAATTATGGGAATAATGCAAATACAACTATGTCAGTGAAAAACCTAAGGCTCTATTAGGGATGGCAATTCCCCCGTAAAACCGGGGCCCCACCCCGAACGGGGCAGGTTTTCCCCGACCCTAAACAGGGACAGGGAGGGGATGGAAAAAATATTTTTTTCCGAATCTTGGATGGAGCGGGGACGGGTTTTATATATAATTCTCCGAACCTGCCCCGAATTCGAAGGTAAAATTAATAAAATATCTCTAGGTTTAATATTGATATTTAAAATATCTCTAAGTTTCTCCTAAATTCTTTAAAATCCTAAAATCCCATAATTTCATTTTTGAAGTACCCCCAAAGTATTATAATTCGATTCCTGACATACCCCCAAATTCCTATATTATATGTGTAAATTGTCCATAAAATAAATAAGTTTTAAGAAATTGCCTTGGAGCGAAGAAAATTCAGGGATTACCCATCCCCGATGGAAAGTGGATGCCTCGCCCCGACACCAGGGATGGGGCAAAATATCTTGAATTCAGGGCGGGGATGGGGAGGGGTTTCCCGCCCCGTTGTCATTCCTAGGCTCAGTTTGGAAGGAGTGCAAATGCAAATATATAAGGTACACATACATACAAAATAATAGAAAATGTAAGGTTTTGCACTATACATATTTGTATTTGTACTCATTCCAAACTGAGCCTTATATTTTGTATAAACCTCGTATTGTCACTGAGGAGGGGTGGCTCAATTGGCATGTTTGCTGGTTCGTTCCAGTAAAGAGTAAGAGGGGGATTGCGCTCTCACCAACTTTGAGGAGGGGGTTATAAGTGTGGTGGGTTTATCACCATTCACCAAATACCAAAAATAACCTTGTTTTGGCACTATACATATTTGTATTTGCACTCTTCCCAGCGGTCTGACACAAGGCTTCTAACAATTGGGCTAGTTAAGTACTTTGGGTTGGGGCACAGCAGGTTACAACAGCCAGGTCCACTTGCAACGCTACTTCCATTCACAAAACTGGGCCGAGCCCAAATAAAGCTGAAAAGGATTGGATTTAACCCAATTCCTTAGGTTGGGTTTGAATATTCACTACGGCTGGATGCTGTGCTGTCAGTGTGTAAACACACTGTGGCCTGGCCCAAGGTCTCCGACAATTGGGCTAGTCAAGAACTACTTTGGTTTGGGGGCTTGGGGCACATTGGGTTACAAACTTGGCCCATCCAAATGAAACAAATGGGAGAACTACAGTGTCTTAACCCTTAAAATCCAAGAAAAATATAGCCCAAATTAGATGGTATATCCTTGAGGCAATATGGCTTCTAATCTTGTTCCCCTGTATAGAGAGTAGATGCACTAGTCATCCAAAGAGAGATGAGTCATCCAATGAGATGTATCTTAAGTAGAACTCCCTCTTGTTAAGCCTTGTCCAGATGAAAGGCTCTTCTTTGAACAATTAGGAACTCCTGAAAAGCATTTTGGGACAGTTCTTGTCTTCTTGAAGTGGCCAAACATTTGAGGAAGCTGGGGCTGACCCCTGCTTCATTATGGCAAGAAAATCATGAGTGAAAATAAACATAACATAACTCAATGTGTCTTATATAACATGGTTTTTGACAGACAAAATGCTGAATCGAGTTATGAGTGAATAAATATTTTAATTTTTTTTTTTTCTTTTTAAACATGCAGAAGCTCTATACAAATGAAATTACTTGTTTCTTCTTTTGAGATGCAGAAACACTTGACACATTTTTCTCTCCACTGGTCCGCTGGTGTAAAATTGGTGATTATCTTTCTTTACTACCAAAATAAGAAATCAACCCCTTATCATTGTCAATCCAATGGCAATCACAATAAGTGTTGAAGGAAGTCCAAACTTGAGATGGTTCAAAAAGGAGAGAGTGTATCCAATGGATGGAGCTCGACGAGCCTGCTCACACACTATTAAATTTGCAGCTGAACCCAACAGTGACAGGTTTCCAGCTACTGTGCTGACCCATGCCAAAATGAGCCAAGCCTTCTTCTCATCACCTGGGGATATTGCAGCTGCTGATGCAGCCACCCGTGCTCCAAGCAGCAGAACTGAGATAATATGCAAATCTAATTAGGAAACTCCATGATACATATATACAAATGCACATGCTGAGTCAATTTTGGTCCCAGCTATCTAAGGTCTTGGGAGGGGTAGACTGGACATGAACCTTTGGCATTTGTTTTTTGGAGGGTGGTTGCTCTAAGACTCAAACCTGTGTTTTCAAATTTGTCAGCCCGAGATTTTACCATTACACCAAGCAATAGCCCTTACCATATATACATGCAAATATATGTACATACATATCAACATATGTATGTATGTATGTATATGCTTAAAGTCAATGGGGCATCAGTTGATTAAAGTCAGCTCTGCAACAGGGATAATGTAAACTAACAAGCTGAGATTATACTACATTAATGGAAAAATAGAAAACTGTCCTGATCAATAGCCTTGCCTCTGTGCTAAAATGACTCTGTGGGTGTTGATTTACCAAAAAGAAAGAGATGAAAGACCAGAAAGTCAAGAATTAGTTACGAGTTACATGCACTAGGCTTACAATGAAGGGAGAGGGTTGAGAATAAGTAGTTTTAGAAAGCCAAGGAACATTACAGAAAGACAACCAATGCTTCACCGTAGATGAGACAAACGGCTTCCTTGTAAAAGGTGCGATGTGGGGGTAAGATAGGGTAAGATATTGAATGTGAACAGTCAACAACAAAATAGCTAATAAGGTATTAAGAAGTACAGAAATGCATAAATAAAACAAAGACAACATGAGTCGCTATGTGTATTAGAATTGTATGTGAGCTCTGTTTTACCTACTTAAATACAGTGGCACAACTTATTTGTAGGCCATAAAAAATTCTTGGTTAAGAATGATAAAAAAGACAAGTGAAGACCATAAAGGACATGGCAGCATTTGGAAGGGCCTTGAGGGCTTTTCTAGAACCAGTAAGGCCTATCCCAGAATTAGGAGGTGGATAATATCACCTTCAGTTTGATTAATAAGAAAGCATCTTCAAAATACTTTTATAGACCCAACAATTCTTTTAATGAAAACATAGACAAGTCAAACAATGGTATAACAGGAAATGTATCCATGATGGTGGTCAATTCCTTAGTGGGGATGCTCAACAATTTCCTCTCCCATGTTGACATTCACAGGCCTTATCAACTTAGTATGCTCACGTTTTCAAGGGATGCTTAGAAAAAACAATTTTAACAATATAAAAATGCATGTATCATTGCAACTACTGCAAATATTCTCTATTCTAAAGCTTAACAAGGAATATATGGGATCTGTCTTTCTTTTGATAACTAAATATATGGGAACTATCTAATGACATAAGAAAAATACAAAACTGAAACTGAAGAAATCTCGGGAAAATTTTTACAGTACCACTTCCATCTTGAAGTGAGGAGTTGCCACTTTCAATATGGTAAAATTACAGTGTCAAAAGAGGGTACATCTCTAAACTGGCAAACACAGTTTTACTAGATAGAACAGTAAAGAACCATCTGTACTTAACGCCCATGATGCTCACCACTTGATTGCATGCCTCTGATCTGAATACTACAAAATGCTAAGCATAAATTTGATTAAGAAAGCCTTTGAACTAAACTAGATATTGGTTAACAATCATGAATCATGCTTTCTCCACAGACATAAACCCTGTTGACCTTATGACTTGTGATCTGTGTGAACCTTAAAGAGCCTGGTAAATTTCCCTTTCATATAAGTCTCACCGGAACCTTCCATTTATGCTTCTCTGTATGTACTGCTACTGAAATTCATGTCAAACTTTATCTTGTTTCATGGTACCATGCAATGAATTTTAAGTGGATTATATATGTATCCATCCATGTTTTAGGTTCATTTTGTGTTTTTTGCATCATTAAAACTGATCCATTTTATAGAGTCAAAGGACTGATGGGGCCAGACAAGTTAAAAGAATTGCAATAAATAATGTCATATAACCCACACTTTTCCATAAAACAACATGCCTCCTAGCTTTATAAGTAGATAACACCAAGTGAAATGGGTTTAGAACAATAAACATATAAATAAAATTCGACTTACCTGTAGGTACATTTGAAGCAAAGTTTGAGAGGACAAGTATGACAAGGGCAAGCACTGCAATTCCACTGGCATGGTCAATCCGTGCATAAGGCTCCATGAAATCCCAGACAGCACTTGGAATCCCTGTCTTGTTAAAGCCATCAACCGTGATAAACATTCCACAGAAGAAAATCAAAAGTGAATAGGAGACCTGGTTCACAATGAGAGATGGTAAGTATTGTTTAGCACTTGGTATCTGGGAGCAAGATTGTGGTTTCTCTTTATTTGCGGTAAGTATAAAGCAATTGTATGGTTATATCATTTTACCTTTTCTAGACATGGCTGGGCATCCTTAAAATCAAGGACGACAAGAGCAAGTGCAGCAGTGAGTGCTGTCCATGACATGTTCAAGCCCACCAACAGAGAAATCAGCATTCCTAAAGTAATGATATAAACACAGGTCTTCCATAACAATTTCTTCCATCTCTTGGCCAAACTTTCTTTTTCTTCTGAAGATTGCAAAGAAACATCTGTTATGGAAGCAGCACCATTCAAGACACTCCTCACAGACCTCCTTGAAGCAGCAGTTTCCTCCCTCCCCTGAGAAAAGCCATCATCACCTGTGGACTCTTTTGAGGCATTCGAGTTTCTAGTGGATTCCTCCCCACCAATAATGGTCTTATGCATATCATTCTCACTTGAACTCATTCGGCATCTAAGAGCCCCCATTCGACTGGAATCCCCATTCATAGATTCCAATGTGGAAATCCGCTCTTGAGAATTCAAGGATGACAGATGTGACATTGTTGCTGGTGAGAACCTATGAGATGTGACATCCTCTTCGGCAATCACTTCTGTTGCTGCATCCTCTATGTCCTTCTCAGTGGACAACACTCTCCAATACATGCACAGAAGTATAACAATATTCACGACAACTCCAACAACCATTGCAGGAAGAATGCCCAATAAGAACTGCCCAAAAGAAATACCACTCTGAACAGCTATAACCAAGTTTTGTGGGTTACCAATTGGAGTTGCAGAAGACCCAATATTTGCACTGGAGGCTAGAGCTAGCAGGAATGGATGAGGTGGGAGATTGTGCTGCCTTGCAATCTTTAGTACGAACTCAGTCAGAACGACGCAGCTGGTGTCATTGGTGAACAAAGCACTTGAAACGGCAGAAACGAGACAGATTCTGGATAATAAGTCCTTGGCACCTCGGCTCTTCCAGGAGAGTAATTTGCCCAGATATTTGAACATATCAGCTCTTTCAAGATAGGTACTTACAACCATGGTCCCAAAGAGCAGACCAAGGATAGGGAGATCGATTGCAGCATAAGCTTGATTTGGGGTTAAGACTCTGAAGACGACCATGAGCATGGCTCCTAGGAGGGACCCTGCAGTCCTGCCGATAGGCAAACAAGGGACAGCCGGGAAAACTGCCAAAACCCAGAAGATTGCAAAGGCGATTGATCCCAGAACTACTTTTACAGTTGGAGCCATGGCCATTTTCCGCAACTTAGAGTTTTAAAGCCTCTTTCAGGAGGAATAATACGGAACACAGAAAGCAAGAAAATCAACTCCTGTAGATCTACATGACAGTTCTCTGTGATATATTCAGTGGGAGGAAAAAACTAGTTGAACCCCAGAATATATAATCTTGATTGGCTCTCACCGATGCTTCAACAACCATTTCTGTACAACATGGAGTTATTGTGAATACTAGGTTGACCAAAATTAAAATGAAAAGAAAAAAAAAATCAGGAATAAGCAACAATCAGTAGCTCAACAAAGAGCATGCAGATTGCAGACTCTTAGCAGCTTGGATAACCTACAAGGCTCCAAGGAGGAGAATCTACAGTGAAGCAGAATAGGGAGAACCATAAACCCTTTTGCAAGAAGAACACAAAATTCAATCTTGCATGAATGAAACCCAGACCAGAATGGAAATCTCCTCAATTGGGCAAGACCTTCCCTTCTAAAATACTTTCACCAAGTAAGAAGAAAAGGTTAAGAACTTCAAACCTTCAACAAGTCTCTGTAGACGGCAAATAATAACAGATCCTAATGGACAGTCAGTCGTCTGCAAAACAAGATTAAGGCCCAACCGCAACAAAAACGTCCGACCCAAAAATTCGCACTGACAACCAATAAAAATTGGAGACGCAATAGAAGAATAACCTAAACACAGGTCGGCAATTCACATCCAGGACCATATCATCTGTAAGTTCGTTGACTATATCTGCTTTGTTATATGATGATTCACAAGATTTTAGACCTGGGTTATTAATTATTACTAGCCTTTTATTAATTATTGCATTCTCTGGGTTGGCAAGTTTAGATTGGATTATTGAACTTCGGAAAGCTACGATCCTTCTGATATCATACTTCAGAGACGGAAAGCAATTAAGAGTTGTTCATGTCCTTGTCTCTTTGCTGATCAATAATATTAAATTTCTATCCTTATGTCATTAACAAGATCTTATCTGTCTCTGTATGGACCCGCTTATTACTTATCTTATTATTGATCTTTCTGCTCTTTTTTTTATATATTTTTGTTGGGGGAGGAGTTGTGAAGCTTAGATTGCATCAAACAATTACTTGATAGTCTAGGAAAGGATGATAAATAATATATATACATATATATATAGGAGAGATGTTTATTATCATTGTCACATGGTCAATCAATAATTTCTGTTAATTTTGATCTTTTTAAACAAAGATTATACTAATCTAATATCTGAAAATGTCACTTTTCTCCATTACATACAATTGGTGTTCGAGCACTTATCAAGAGTTGCCCATGGTTTTCACTAAAATTTACATATTTGGGATTTATATTGCTGGATCTAGTATATTATATATTTGTGCAATGGACGTATGAAGGTAATGTATCATATTAATAAATTCAAGGAAATGTATTGATACATTTTGGATATGCATAAACATGATGGAAAGATATGGATATAAATATTAAGAAAATTCTCATAAATCAGACAAATAAATCTATAGCATGAGTTCTTTTTGATACATTAATAATTTTAATGTATAATGTATTGATACATTAATAATTTTAAGCATGAGTTTTTGTTTTTTTTTGAATAACTAGAATAAGATACAAACACATAAGAAATATGTGAATTAATAGATTATATGAAGAAATAAACCATGATAAACATACCAAGACATATAGATATCATATAATGACTACTACTAATGCATCAAAATAGGTTTTTTATTTTTTTATACAGATTACACATTACTATATGTATGAAGCTATTCATATATTATTATTTATTTAAGTTAAAATTTTTAACGATTAATTATAGAAATATATAAATAATTAAAAATAAATTAGTCCCATGAATAGAAGGTTGATAAATCGAAGAGTCCAAGACACAAATCACAATGCAAGCAACTATTAGATTTTAATTACTAAAAACACTGCTCTATGTTTTATCATTTTTTACTTTTAAGTTACCCAAAAATAAGTCAACTTAATCCTAAATTCTTAATATGGTAGCTAATGACTACATAGCTTCTTAAAAATAACTTATGTAAATTAGGTTAATTTTATAAATAATAGTTTTATTTATTATAAATTATTTCATTAATCAATATTTTACAGAGATTAATATAAAAAGTAGATAAAATCCATTAGAATTTCGGAAATACTTCTCATATGCAATTAATAAAATTTAATTGCAAAAACAACTGTCATGCTTTACTATCATTTATGTAAATCACCAAAAATATGAAGCAAAACATTTTGACATAAAATAAAGACTAATGGGTTTGATTAATTATTCAAGTATTACTTATTTTATTAATAATTATAAAATGCTGATTTTAGTGATAAATTTCTTTATTTTTATAATTTTCCGAATAAACATTCATATATAGCACTATTTATTTCAATTAAATGAAACAGTGCCAAAACCGCAATTTTAAGCTTATATAAAGCCCTTAATCCTTCATTGCAGGGAAACAGGAATAGAAATGAGGAAAGCTCCAAAAAATGGGCTCTGTATTTTATTTTAGATTTTCTTTTTTTTTATATATTTTTTGGGTGGATGTAAACATGAGAACGTGGCTGACTGAAGGGAGAGGGTGGTGGCCTCCCAGCCTGTAAACGTGTAGCCGTTTCGATTTGTAACAATCTGCTGACGATGCAAACATTCTTCGGGCTTTAACACGTTGCCTCTTCTGTAGTATGTAGTTTTTTTAGTACGAAAGTCTGTGCGTTCACGGTTAGGGGTGGCAATTTTCCCCATCCCCGACGTGTACCCGAGCTCCCCGACCCGATGGCCCCGATTGGGGACGGGGAATGCAATTCCCGCCCCTACCCATCACCGATTAATATTATATTATATATAATATATTATATAAGTATAATAATTATTAATTTATTCATAAAATAGTAAAAACTAAAACAGAATTCAAAGAAATAAAGAAAAGTTAGAAAACCTTAACCCTCGACTAGTCAAGTTTTCGTTCTTCGACAGAGTCAAGACTCAAGAGAGGTGTGAGGTGACTGAACCACAAAACCAGTAAACCCTAGCTTCGTCTTCGTTGCCAATTCGTCGACTATCGATCACCGTCGCTGATTGTCACCACTGCCCACTGGCTCATTGGACATTGAACAGAGGAGAGGAAGAGATACTTGAGTCTCGAGTCTCGACAGAGGCCAGAGAACTGAGGAAGAGACTTCGTCTTCGTCGCTGACGCTGATTCGCCAACCTCCGACCTTCGTCATCATTGCCGACCGCCGTCGCCGTCGCTGTCACCCTTCGTCCTCTCTCTCATCAGTCATCATCGACATAAACTCTCCCAAGTCCCAACGGTCCTCTCTCTCTTAGTTTCAATCTTTCATACTCTCAGTCTCAATCTTTCTCTCAACTTTTATTGATTTCCATTATATTCTAGACTCTAGAAAATAAATCCTAATTATCTAATATAGTTCTTAGTTCAGACTTCAAAGTTCGAGTTCAAATGCAGTTTCAGCCAAACCCAAATGAAATGTTGAGAGTATGAGCCGAACCCAAATGAAATGCTCAAATGCAATTTCAGGCTTTCAGCTGAACCCTGGCTGAAATGCAGTAATATAAGGCTATGAGCCGAACCCAAATGAAATCAAACCCAAATAAATAATCACCCTTCAAAGTTCAATCTTTAAATCTCCCTAAAATGCAGAATGAGCCAAACTCTGAAATGTAGTATGAGGCTATGAGCTGAACCCCGAAATGCAGTATGGGTCAAACTCAAATTACCCTTCAGATCTCCCTATCCCTGTTAGGCTGTTAACCTATTACCAACTTACTATATGTTATTTTATCAAAATATTAATTTTATTGTTTATTATTTTTATAATTTGAATCATCACTGAATTGTTTGTCATTATAATTTTTAGTTTTATCATATTCTGTAAATTTTTATTTCACATTGGGTTTGTGTTTTTGCATTTGATATTTTGATATAAGTTGGTATTGATAATTTGATATTCATTAATCGAAGGTCACCATATTCAGATATACTTATTATTTAATTCATGTTTGGTGTTAATTTTTTTTTAGATTTATAATTGATGGGATTTTTTGCTTTTTAATTTTTTCTCTAGTTTTAAAATATGGAAACTCAAGCTGAAAGTTCTAAATCGGGGACACCTATTGGTAGCAATCAATCTCCAATTGGGGTTGAAGTTGAACACTTTCAAACTCCAGCTTTATCAACTCCAATTGATTCTCCAAGTGAGTCACCCGTTGAATCTCCCGCTCAAAATTCTAATGAAAATTTGGTTGATGATTCAGACTCACCTAGTCAAGCCCCCAATGCTATTGTTGGTGTAAAAAGGAAATTAACATTTGTTGTTTGGAATCATTTCAAAAATATAAAAGTAAATGGGGAGGATAAGACGGAGTGTAATTATTGTCATAAAAAGATTGAAAGCAATAATAAAAATGGGACAACTCATTTGCATGACCATTATAAGACTTGTCCAAGAAGGTGTTATGAAGATATAAGGCAACATGTTTTAGTAAAAGAACAGAGAAAGGCTAATGGGAAAGTTTGTGTTAATAATTATCATTTTGATCAAGATGCTTCAAGGAAAGACCTAGCCACCATGATAATTTTACATGAATACCCACTTTCAATGGTTGAACATTGTGGATTTAGGAAATACACAACTGTTCTTCAACCTCTGTTTAAGGTTTCTTCTTGGAATACTATCAAAAGTGACATCTTGAAGATATATGATTGAAAAATAAAAAACATTGCACTTTTTGGAGAAGAATCCTAGTAAGGTTGCAATAACTACTGATATGTGGACAGCTAGCAATCAAAAGAAATGCTTTATGGCTATCACAATGCATTTCATTGATGATAGTTGGGAGATGCAAAGTCGGATTATGAGGTATTTAGTTTTCAATATGTTACTTTAAAATTAAATTTTCTTAGTACATTATCAAAGTTTTTTTTTGTATTATTAGTAATTTGATTTTTAAACAAATATTTAAGACTTGTTTTTATTAGTAAATTAATGTTGCATTTTAGGTTTGTTTATATGCCTTGTCCATATACTTCGGAAACACTTTCTAATGTTTTAGTGGATTGCATGATGGATTGGAATATTGATAGGAAGTTATTGACAATGACAATTAATAATTGCTCTACTAATGATTCCCCCGTTGAATTATCTTAAGTAAGCTTAACACTATTGCACCTATGTTAGATGGAAAATTGTTTCACATGCGTTGTTGTGCTCATATTCTCAACTTGATTATTAATATGGTTTGGGGATCATTGGAGAAGTATAGAAAGGGTTAGAAATAGCGTGGCTTTTTGGGTAGCATCACTCAAAGGAGAGCAAGCTTTTAGAGAAGTAGCACGTTAGTTGCAAATATCAAGTTCAAAAAAATTGGTTCTTGATCGTAAGACCCGATGGAACTTGATATACTTGATGCTTAGTGTTGCTTTAATTTATAAATATGTGTTTCATTAGTTGAAACAACGAGAGCCTTTGTATAAATACTTTCCAACTGATAAGGATTGGGGTTTAGCAAAAGAGATTTGTGAGAGGTTGCAAGTATTTTATAATGTGATTGAAATATTTTTTTAGGACTAAATATCCAACAAAAAACAAGTTCTTTCCATTGATTTGTGATATTAGACTTTCATTATCTTAGTAGCTCTCATGTTCTAATGAGATTATTAGAACAATGGCATCAAGTATGTTGGCTAAATTTTACAAGTATTGGTGCATCATTCATGGAGTAATGGCCGTAGCATGTGTTTTGGATCCAAAATTTAAGTTGAAGCTATTAGAGTATTTATTTCCTAAACTTTATGGAAGTTTTGCTTC